CATCTCATGGATTTGAAAATCAAATTAGAGAAAACTTATGTTTGAATCCCAGCCCCAAAGACCCAATAAATGAAGAATAGAGTTCAGAAATTATGGTTCGTGTTTTCTTTCCTAAGTGATGGAACCATAGTTTTCTCTTTTATATAACAATTTTAATACTTAATTTTAGGGTTGTAATGAATAAATGAGATCATAGACTTAAAGTGCTTAGCCCAGTACCAGACACAAAGTTGGCATTCAATAAGCATGACTCCCCTTTCACCTTCCACAGGAAACTGGGACTTATACTGGTCTCTGACTTAGCCTGAACATAACATTCACAGGTATTTCATCATTGACACTACCAGTGTTTTAGAACTACCTTTAGGTCCATATGTTTCAAATCAAGTTTTGTCAAAATGAAAACCAAATCTATATCTCTTCTTCATGGACTTCTTAAGCTATCTCATCTCTACCAACATAAAATTTTGAATGCAAAGCTATCTTTAATTGATTTTTTTAAAAATCAAGTCTACTTCAATTATATATCACTATGAATGATCAATCTAGGTCCTAGATTGAAACAAGGAATATCACAAGTGCCTACCCCTAGAGCATGGAGGTTGGGGGTAGGCCAGATAATACATCTTTCATCAAAGGAGAACCCTATTTCACAAGAAAGATGAGGCACAGCAAGAAGAAGGCTTGACTCCTATTTTAGATGAGACAGAAGTGTTTCCATCGCTTCTCCTCTTACTTAATCAATATGGATTTGTGTTTCTATGTCAAATTCATTTCCTAGTTGTTTGATCTGTTAGCATCCAAAGAATATGTATTTTTTCTTTCTTATTTCAAATTTCCATTCTAAAATTATTTTTCTCATCTCCTCTCAATACATCATGCATTGGTCATACCATTTCTCTCCTTGTCCCAGGCACACCCTAGTCTTGTCTTTTCTTCCTATTAACTTGCTCTATCAAAACCACTACAGAAACAGGCTGCTTCTCTGATGCCTGAGTGACAGCACAGTGAAAACTTCCATGACAGGCACATCCCCATATGACACGAAAGTCTCAGCTGAGGTTTTGTATCTAGTTCACACGATGCTCAGGGCCTCAACTGAGAGGGTCTGTAGCTTTTCTAAGAGTCTTTTTTGACAACCTCCTCAAATATTTTTACCTTTACCCTCTTGACTTCTCTAAAATTAACAAGCAGCAAAACTCATATGACCCTAGTGGGGAAATAAAGTAGCCCTGGTAACGATCAACAAAGTCCTTCCTCAGTTGACCAAACATAGTATGCAACACTGACTTGCTGACCCCCAGCGTGGGTGCTCCTCCCAGATTCCCTGCAGCCCACTCTTCCTGTCCGTGCCAACGTGCAGACTTCCCTGACAACCATTGGGGACCACAACATTACAACTCACAGCAAAGAAGAAGAAGGGGAACCCATTGTATGAAATGGAGTCAGAGCCCCAAGACACTGAAAAGCTCAAAGCCAGGCTTCCAACACCTGCCCCAAAGTCATCCTGTAACTTCACCAACTGAGCAACTTGGAATTCTCCCCATTTCTAATAGATACCATGTGCTGCACACTCTCTCACCAGTGAAAGGATTCTGTTTGTAACATTCCTGAAGTTTAGTCACCCAGCCTCTGCTAGATATTTCTAGAAGACTTTGAGGGACAATGTGGACAGAGTCTGCTCCCTCTCTCACATCTCATTTTGCTCTCCTCTTCTACAAGCTAAGCAGTCCTGGGTCCTTCCCTCACTCACTCCCAGTTCGACTCACTCAGTGGGTCCTTCACTCTCTTCATTGCTCTGTTCTTACTATACTTGGGTTTCAAAGCTAGTTTCAGAATCAAGGGTATTTACAACTCCAAATAATATTACTGAGAATACTATTGACACCATATTACAGATACATTACTGTTTGTCACTGGTCTCCATCATAGCAGGCAAACTTCAAGGGCTTTAGGAAGGGTTAGTTGGTGTTTCTGATCACATACTGGAATATATATTAGCCATTATTTAACTTCCACGTTCTGATTTTTCTCAAATAGTTGGGAAGGGAATAATAAAAATAATTCATATCCATTTTCTCACAAATTCAAAATATATTTTATAAATGTCAAATTATTTCCCAGGCATTTTTTAAAATTTAATATGACACCATTCATGGAAAGAATCATTAGCAAGAACTAAAGCACAATGAAATGTAATGCAACAAGGACTGGAGGAAAATGCATATGAAAATGTGTGGAAAATCTATGTGATACAATGAGCCAGATCTTAAAGAGATCATGCAGAGTGGAGCTAAGCATGAGAGACAAACTTAAAAAAAAAGGTGTTTTTTTTGGTTTGTTTGTTTCTTTTGGGGTTTTTGTTGTTGTTGTTTTTATTGATTTTAGAGGGAGGAAGGAAAAAGGAGAGAGAGAAACATCAATGAGACAGAACATCGATTGGCCTCCTCTTGCATGCCCGCAAATGGGGATTTGGCCCATAACCTGGGCATATGCCCTGACTGGGAATCGAACCAGCAGCTTCTTGGTGCATGGGTCAATGCTCAACCACTGAGCCACACTGGTCGGGCAATGTGTGTGGTTTTTTTTTTTTATATGTCCCTGAGCTAAAAGGCAGCTACATAAGTAGATATTAAAGAAAGCAGAAAAACCAAGCCAATGTCCTGCTTCCTATGTTACGTGGGCAAATACAATAAGGTCATTATTCTTTAGAATTACTGTATATATTCTTTAGAATCACTGTATATTTAGAATCAGGCTGTATATATAGCAGCCTGAGGATGGGGACAGAGAAATAGAAGGTGAGGAGAGAAGGAAGGAGAAAGAAAAAGGATTAACTCAGTAACAAAAGAAACCAAGCCTACATTTCTTACACAAATGCCATTTCTGTCAAAATAATAAAAAACAATGGTAGAGTTTCATTTTTAGTAATCCATCTCTCAACAAACTGTAGCCACTGTAATGATTTATGCGGTAATTAGTAGAAACCCTCCCTATATATATCATCTGACATGGATTCATAAAATAAATTTAAAAAATGATATAAATATCCTAAAATAAGAAAACTCTAAGAGACATAGGCACACACCCAAAGAGACCATTAGACCTAGGGAAACAGAAAGAATTGCCCTTTTCTGGCTTCAGAGTGTGCTTGGTTTGGTATGTGGAAGCAGAACTATCTGTAGGTTTGTGCTGTTTTGTTCTGCTTTGTTTTCCAGATGATAGCATCTGTTGAGAGACTTTGAAAATGGAAAGAAAAGCTAGGTTAGCAGAGACAGCATGAAGACCTGTCTTTCCTGAATCACAAACAGCAGCTGATAGAAAAAGGAGAGAGTGACGAAAAGGTCATCTCACACTCATGGCCCGCTGAGTCTGGGTTTTCCTTTTTCCTGTGCCCAGGACACTGCAACCCATTTACATGTTATTTTCTTTGTTGCATCAAGAAAAACAGGGAAACCAAAGGTGGTGATTTTCCAGGAGTGTTGTTTGTTTCGTGCCATGGGAATTGGAGGCCATTATCTAGTACATTTGGGATGATTCTTCGGGGTGACAACAAAATCTCTACGATGTTTATGAATTACTTTGGAGCTTGAGGTTTTTACCAATATCAATCTTTCAGATGAATTTCAATTACGTCTTCCCACCTTCCAGGCTCACTATCTGAGGCATTGATTGACATGAGAATACTATGAGCAGAAAAAATTTAAAACATAAGAGAAGCAGAGCTTTTCTCAAAATCTTATCAGTTATATTTTGAAATCGTAAAAGACTGGGCATATTTTCCTTATTTTCTGGGCAAGTAAAAGGAAGGTCTTCAACCCACCAGATAAAATATATTTCATTTACATCTACCATGTGCTATAAGAACTATAAGCAGGCACTGTGAGAGTTATGGCATTTTAAAAATATAAGACATGGTCCTTGCTCCTACACAGTTTAAAGGGTAACTGAAACAATTTAGAGAGAAGGGAGGTCTCAGGAGGAACAGAAATGCTGGTGAGACCTTGAACAGCTAGGATTCTCGGAGAGAGAGGGAGAGGCGCTCCACCTTGGGAACTGCAAGGTGAAAGGCATGAAGTAGGGAACACTGAGAATTTTCAGAAACACCAAGTAAACCCAAGAAGAAGCAAGCAGAGGGCATCAATTAACATGTTAAAAAAGAGATTCAATGTATTTTAATTCTAGGAAGGGGTTTTCTTTCTGCTCACGAGGGCATGAAAAGCTTTAAAGAGATGTTTCACTTTTTTCTCATTTATCTCAAGATTCTTTTAATGCACAATTTTATTTTATTTTATTTTTCTTAGTAAACTACAGGCAGGACCTGAAGCAGTGGTTCCTCATAACCAAGTAGGACCTCTTTCACTGCAGAAGCCACACGTTAGGAGCTCCTGTCCCTCACTCCACCTGCCCACCCCTACTGCCCAGCCAATTAACTGTGGGAAGGCTGGGGGGTGGGCGGGACTAAGAGAGCATAGTAGCCAGATGGCCTAGGTTTGAATTTTTTTGTTTTAGGGGTTTGGTAGGTATTGGATTGTTAGTATTTTATATACAGATCATGTTCTATTATATTTTCTAACTTCAACTCCATTGGAGATGGGAATAGTGCCAACACAAAAACCTATACCTGCAGACAAGGACAATATTTATTTCATTAAGGTTTGTTAACATCCACAAAAGAATCCCCTTCTTTCTTAAGTACTACATCTCTGAGGAGGTACTCTATTTTTCTGTGTCCAAATGATATCCTGCAACTTATTGTAAGACGGTTGGTCCTGTTGTGTAGCTTTGAAATTCCTCTTAATTCTCCTCCTTCGATCGAGCCAATGATCATTGAAGTAAAGCTATGAAACAACCTGAAGACAGAGTGTGGACGAAAGGGGGCCACATGCTGAACCTGGCAAGCTCAGGGGTGGCCTGTGTGGCAGGCCCTACAAACTCAGAGACCACAGAGTGGTCTGAGGGTAAATTCCTAACTGAAAGCGGGTCCCAGCACATCCTAGGCCTGTAGGTTTCTTGACAAAGTCAGTCTGTGCCTTAAGTGAGCCTCTCTATCATCTCTTTGCATCTAAGATAACACACCTTTGCGATGTCAGTGACCTCCTTTTCCCTCAAGACACAATCTCCCCCCAGAACATGAGATCACAGAACCCCTCATTGCCATCTTGTGCCCCAAATACCATCCCTTTGTACTGTAAATGTTCATTGCTAACCATCCTGCAGCCGCCAATGTAAAAGAAGTATGTGTCTCTCCATTTTGCTTTTTAATCCAGTCCCAGAGATTTCCCTCACTTTGATTTCTCCTGCCTCCTGATTTACCACCCGTGGCTCTCACTTAACTCTCCTTAAGTCTCCTTTCCTCTTAATGTATAAAATAAGCTGCAAAAGTGCCATTCTCAGGAACATTGTTCTCAGTCTGCTGAGATTCCGCTCCCCAGCAATTGTGGTCAGTTTGGCTCAAATGAACTCATAAAAATTCTGTGCAGGTCTGGGCCCTTCTTACTCGGACAAAGGGAAGATGATGACAATAGACACCCTTTGCTGTTACCTTTCATTTGTCAGATCTCTGCCAAGTACTTCCCTGCATTATGTCATTTAATCCTTCCCACCACCATGTGCGGAAGGCATTATAATCCCCATTTGATAAACGAGGAAACTGACAGAGAGGTTGGGGAATTTTTCCCAAAGGCACATTTTAGCAAGTGGTGGCGTTGGGATGAAAGGCCTGCCCTCACCTTCGCCACCATGCAGCTCCCAGGGGGGACGGAGGAGATAATGAGAGGGAGGCTGGCTGCAGGAGGGGGTGAACTTAGTGTTCAAGGAGGACCTGAAAAGACGGCACTGGTGTCAGAACAATGGCTCTATTGTTTTGAAGCCCATGGGTTCGAGAAGCAGGATGGACCAATTCCGACTGAAGAGAGATGTAGAACTATGGGCAATGCCTAGAAAGTTAAATGCTTGGTCTCAGCTATAAATCATCTGAGTCCCTAAATTCTCCACGTTTATCATAACTTATGTGTTTGGGCTCGGCTTGGCACAGCTATAAACAAGCTAGGAAAGTGACCTTGGTGTTGCCCAAGAAGGAGAAACGGTCTCTATTTTTACACCTGGGTGGTGACAACCACCTATGAGGAAGTGATATCAATAGCGGAACCTGAAACTGGAGCAATTAAGTTCTCTCAGCAATATCTTGCTTGTCTTCAAAGGACGTCAATTAAAAACACCTGGAAGATTTTGTCATTTTTCAGAACACCCGTATTGACAAGAGATTGTTTATGTATAGGCTAGAATAGAGATTGTGTTGGAACAGCGTGTGTATTTAAGCATCACTCCTGAAGGAATTTAGGATCTACCGTAAGGCCCTAAGAAAAAGTGTCTTTCACTGTCACAGATGTTCAGGACATGCAGAAACGTTCTAGCCACGTGTCCATAGGAAAGGCCTTGAACTGTGACAACAACGATATTCGGGTCGTGAGCTTCCCTTTTCACTCTTCCCCTGGGCCTCAGACATGTTGGAGGAAGTGCTGCCAGTCCACCCTAAAAAAGACAGAAATATGTAGAAAAAAGTTTAAATGTGCAAAGCTGAATCTCTAAGACCCTAAGCCACTCTGCTGTGTGAATTCTGCCCCTTCGGCACTGGAGAGCTTGGTAATGTAACTGAGACAGCCGTATCTCTTGAAGTCTATTTAGGAGATATCCCCCACCCACCACATGTCCAAGAAAGAGAGTTGGGTTCTAGAAAGAGAGAGCATTTTCCTGTTGACCAAAGGGCTGGATGAACACTGTGAGTCAGAAGGCAGAATTCCAGGCATGGCAGCTCAAAGGATAAACACTCTAGGTCATTAGAGGTCAAGCGTGAGTACTGCACGCCAAGCAAAGAAGCAGCAGCCACTCCACAGGATGCGAGGCCACGACACCAGCTTCCGTGAGGGCACCAGCAGCCAGAGAACAGCGACAAAGGTCCTCCAAGTAGTGACTGTATGATAAGGGCCCCTCTCCACCTGTTTTCTAGAGGATTCCCTGAGTAACATGGTAACCATGACAAACCAGGGCTGTTGATCCATGGGAACATAGGACTACTACTGAGACAGTCACCTTACCCTGGTGATTTGCATGAGTTTGTGGAATCTAAGAAATATTCAGGTTCTATAGATACAAATAAAAAAATTACATATGAATATGATGTATAATAATAATATCCCAAGGCCAGTACTTAAATAATATAAAACTTAGAAATACAGACATTATTAAGCAGGATTATTTTTCCTTGAATTTCCCCCAAATACAATAAAATACTGTTTTGAGATATATATTTAAAAATCTAGAATTTTCAACTTTATTGTCTCAAACTTAAACTTATGAGGTGCTTTAAGAAACCAGAGTCTCAGGAGATAATTCGGTGAGCTTCAGGTTGGATTGTTTAGGACATAATAGATACGTTTCACCCTCCAAGGCCATAAATGTCATAGGCGCCACTTAGCCAAACGGAATAAACACTTGAGATAAACACTCTCGCTCTAAGTCAAAGATAGCAAAGAGAATGTGTTAGTAAAAAAGATGCTTTCTCAAAGAACCAGAAAACACTATAATTCACCTTTTTCTGGAAGAATAATTCCATTCTTTTGCAACAGTCAACATTCCCTTGAAAACAAATGGGAGTTTCTCTCTCTGCAGGAGTTAGTTGCCTCCCAGGGCCAACTCGCTTGGGAACTGACCTGCCCAGGCATGGGTGAAAATGTGAGAACTTGCCAGAAGAGTATGTCCTGTAAGTCTCCTATCAAGAAGAACCTCTAACGGTTTCAGACACATTCAGGTGTTTCCAGTGACTGAAATTCCATGCAAGAGGCCGCTCTTCCTAGTCAGCCCACTCTCGACAGTTAAGGGAAACGAAGACATAATGAAATTGTCAAACGGTTAGTATTTCTCCTCGGCTTCTTCGGGAGATTTTTTTTTTTTTTTAGATTATTTAAATAGGCATAATATTTATCACACTTGTTAGCTATCCTAGAACTGTTTTAAAGGACTTTTCTGCGTTTCTCTTTTAAACAAATCACTCCTCCCTGTGCAGTTGGAGAAGCAGCCCACATGCAAGCTCCAGCTTCCGGCCGGGAACACGTGGCCTGGGGAATTTCCCCGCCTATCTCCCCGTTCTGCTGGCTCTTATGTGAACTGGGTCTCCCATTAGGCTACTTTGAGGATAAGAACTTTATGTGAAATCACTAAAGCCAGCATTTAATGAGCATTTACTATACGTCTGACATTGGACTGTGAGGTTCCTATGAATTGCCTCATTTAATCCTTTCACAACACTGTGAGTTAGAAACTATTATTATGCTCATTTTATAGGCTAGAGTGCTGAGGATTAGGGAGATTAAATAAACCATTCCAAGAATCTGATAGCAGAATCTGCATGCACGCTGAAGTACTTAATTGCATCCATTCTAAGGGGCGTAATTTTCACATTTAAACCTGTCTGAATATTGTTAGTGTATCTAACAATGCAAGGTTTATCACAGTTAAAACCTGCAGTGGTTTTCGTCCCTCAGGGTACATAAAATAACACTGTGTCTCAACCTGTGGTGCCTGCCTTTTTATGACCCTGCACAGCCTCCTCTCAGAGTTGAATTTAGAATTCTCTCAGGGAAACTGACCCCATCCTGGTACAAAGTAGACATTCATTGATCCTTTTTTCTCCAGTTTTATTGAGATATAATTAACATATAACACTGCATTATTTTAAGGTATACAGTATAATGATTTTATATGTGTGTATAGTGAGAAATGATCACCACGATAAATTTAATGAACATCTGTCACTTCACATAGTTAGCATTTTTTCCTTGTGATGAAAACTGTCAAGAGTTACTCTCTTAATAACTTCCAAATATGCAATACAGTGTTGTTCATGGTGGTCACTGTGATGTACATCACGTGCTACACAGGACTTTTTATCTTATTTTGCCCAGCTCCCACACCTTACCTCTGGCAACCACCAATCTGTTCTCTGTTTCTGAGTTCAGTTCAGTTTTTTAAAGATTCCACATACAGCTGAGATCATACAGTATCCAACTTTCTATCTGACTTATTTGACTGAGCATAATGCCTTCAGAGTCCATGCATGTTGTTGCAAATGGTCAGGTTTTCTTCTTTTTGATGGCAGAATACTATTTCTGTGTGTGTGTGTGTGTGTGTGTGTGTGTGTGTGTGTGTACGTACATGTCCTATAAGTCTCTTATCAAGAGGAACATATATATATTTACCCATTCATCTGTAAGTGGTCATTTAGATGGTTTCCACTGGTTAGAAACCTACTTACACTAGGTTGGCTAGGGTAAAAACTGTTACAATGACTATGGGGACGCAGATATCTTTTTGAGATAGTGCCTTCCTTTGCTTTAGATACATCCCCAGAAGTAAAATTGCTGGGTCATAGAGTAACTCTATTTCTAATTATTTTGAGAAAATCCATACTGTTTTCCATAGTGGCTTCATCAATTTATATTCCCACCAACAGTGCAGAAGGATTCCTTTTTCTCCATATTCAATCATTCTTATACTTAAAAATATGTAAATTTAAATATTATCAAGTAACATGTGGTGTAAGGGAGGAAGGGACTGCTAGCTGTCTAAAATATCTCCTCTCCCCGACTTCGTTAGTGACTAAGCACTGGTGTTGGGCTGGGCCCCGAGCCACCAGGAATACACAGTGTATTTTCCAGCCTTCTCGCAGCTTCATGTGCTCAGGTGATTAAGTTCTGGAGAATGGGGGATAAACAGAGGTAATGTGTCTCTTGAGAAGTGTTCTTAGAGGGAGGGAGCACATCCTTCTTTACCCTTCCTCCATCCCACTGCCTGAAACCAGAAGTGAGGGCCAGGGCACGGACAGCTCTCTGGGACCACATGAACAATAGGGACTTTGGAGCAGAGAGCGGGGAGTGGCCAGACCCCTGATGACTTGGGCGTACCCTACCAGCCAGGGAATACTTCCCTTTTAACTTTTTTAAATATATATATGTTTTTATTGATTTAGAGAGAGAGGAGGGGAGATGCAGAGAGAGAGAGAGAAACATTGATATGAGAATGAAACATCAATGGGCTGCCTCCTGCATGCCCCCACTGGGGATCGAGTCTGCAACCCGGGCGCGTGCCCTGACTGGGAATCGAACTGGTGACCTCGGAGTCCATGGGACAACACTCAGCCAACTAAGCCACATAGGCCAGAGCCTTTTTAACTTTTTACATGAGAGAAAATACCATGTGCATTCAAACAACTTTAAATTTAGGTTCTCTATTATATACACATAGATGTCATCCTTTCTGATACAGCATGTGGTACCTAAAGACAGGACGTTTCTGAAACTTTCCATGAAAATTTGCAACTGGCTCCAAGTTACCTAGGAGAATGTAACTTCCAGAGTGTCTCATGAGTCTTGGGGCCAGTATTAACCATGTGAATGAATCTGAATCCAAGTCTGAAGGTGGGTTCATGGGCCACAACACAGCTTCTCTATTGCCTGCCCTTTTAAGGTGATACCAGGTCTGTTTCCACTGGCAAGGTTGCCCTGTGATTTGGTTGTAAGCATTGGGCTATCCCTAGTAGTTTATTACACTACCTTGTTATCTGGCACAAGAATCCCTAGTGTGTAGTCATGTTTATAATTCAGACCCCAGAACATTTAACATACACTGTACAGCTCAGACAAAAAAGACAAAATAACTGGGTGACGTGTTCTGTGATAGATCAAATGGGCTTGTCACATTTGCATCTGCTCTTCTCAGGAAGCAACAGAGACCACATCATGCAGAGTCATTTTCATTCCCTTTTACTTAGCGCCCCTGTGTATCTCCCGAGTGGGCAAAAATCATACACCAATCAACACCGGCAGCTCCCTAACACCATCCTTTCAAATAGATGCAAGCAGATGGATTCATCTATTCCAGAATCTTTTCTGGACCCACAGAAACTTCCCAGATGCCCCACCATCCCTTCCCTTATATGCCCCTGATGAAAGCTTTGGTACCAGCCACGTAACGTTGCTCTCCTAAAGAAAGCTAGATTAAAAATGCAAGCGTAAATATAATGGAAATGACCTGGAGTGCCCCTCATTTACATATTATAAACACACAAGAATCATTCTAACTAACCTTTAAAATTATACCGCAATAGCTATTTAAAGGTAGAAATCGCATTCAACTGAGCGGAAGCCAATTCATAGATTTTTCGTGGAGCCACGAGGCCGGTCTGCCACGCTTGCGGGAAGCTCCCTTTCCCGCTGCGTTTACGAGACTTGAAGAGCACACAGCGCACATAGGCCCCAGCACCCCCGAGGCAGCTGGCTGACGTCGACCTTGTTGTCACGTGAAACATATAGACAAGCAGACAAGTTGACTAAATAAAAACCTGTAAAAGGCAAAAAGAAAACAGCCCCTGGGGTTGAGATTGAACAGGATTCAATCTCATTTATACAAACTTCCATCATCTGTTGCGGTCCTGCCAGCTCAGTGGGCAAACCAGCGCACATGGCAGATAAAATGTC